CTTAAGCAAAGAAGCAAGGATGTTTACTTCAACAAAACAGGAGTATTTTTAGAACTTAAGGACAGAAATGCAGTGGAGTCTCCAAAAGGGAACACTAAGAAAAAGGCAAGTGTTCTTACCTATTCCAGATACTGATGTATCTTTATAAATTACATTCATATGTTATAGATTCTACCACATATACTAGTGACAAATCCTAGGAAAGTTAACCTGAATGCTTCAGTGAGGTCAGGTGTATTTCCTTGTCCCATCAACTGTAGTTGTGGAGCACAATCAAATAAAACAAGATGACTGCAGGGGCCCACCTGTGTGGCTCCAGTAATGATTATCAGAAAAGGGGAGATTGTTCAGAGCTGGATATAGGCCCCTGGTAGTTAACTATATAGGCCAGATTAATATCACGTCTGCTGATGAAAGTTGATGACAGGTCTGCATGTCTCTTTCAGCTACATGTATTTTCTAGGTCAACACATAAGGCTTTCTTCTATAATATGAGCTCCAAGAAAGGTGTTTAACCATTGCCTTCCATGTGTGTAGCACAATAAAATATGTTTAATATGAATCAATGAATATGATTTATCTAATAACATGCTACCCTACTTAAATTTTTAATGGGGCCCTCAATATCACTATAGATTCACTAAATATAATATACTCATATGATAACTCTATATGAGTTATTATCTGTTCTTACTCTGTATTGATTTCAGTAGTTAAAATTTGCTGGGATTTTATCTATGTAATTTTTGCTGAAGATCATAAGATGGCTTTGTACCTACAACACATCATTTGTACTACATCTCTGCAGTGGTTGGAGTTCTGTGGTGAACTTCAAACAATTCGAAAAAGAAAAGTACAACATGCAGAGAGCTGCGAAAGGGGAATTTTCCAGGCCAAAGATGAGTCCAAGTCTCTTTCAATAAATACCTTACCAAATTTAGTAATAAGTTGCTTTTATAAAGTGAAATTTTAGCAGCTCAGATATCAGAGACAAGTATCAGATTAAAAAGGATTTTTTTAAAGTCAGAACATTCACTTTCTTTTTAAGTGATATTAATTAAAAACCAGATATTATCTACATTGTGATTTTAGACATCTGCAGGTAAGAATGGTCTTTTCTGAAGTTTCAAATTAGGCCAGAATGGGAGATTCACTCTCTCTTTCACACACCCCAATATTTTCACTTTAGTTTTACCGTGCTGATGTAACTTTCTCCTTTTATGTACACCATGTGTTTCTTTCTACAAAAGACACTAATGTGTATCAAGTTTTTCATGACATAATGCAAGTTCAAATTAGAAAATCTCCAATTTGACTCACTTAAGAGTTTTT